GATCTCCCTCTCCTTCCCCTCCTGGGAATCCGTTGGAGGGGACGTCTAGGGGGCCCTGTCCCTCACGCAGGTTGGCCCCGCAAGGGCCTAGCTCTGCCTTTGGTGATGTAGAAGATTTGGAGCACCTTCCTGAGGGCATTAAAAGGCTTATTTCTGCAGCCATTGCTAGGGGTGTTGTCCAGTGGGACAAGGGGTCCTTTTCTTCCAGGCATGGGGGACTTGGCAGGACCCAGTGTCGTACTTCCTCTCCTTCCATGGTGAGCGAAGCTTCTTTCTTGGGGGGGGAGAGCCTCCCGGACATGGGCTTCTCGGATGATGAGAATGCAGGCCTTTCGGATGAGCCCGTGTCTAAGGGCCTCTTTGTTCCAGCCATGTTCAAGAGCCTCTTGGATAAGGCGAGGCAGACCACCAAGGTTGGACCCCTCGGTGCCCCCGCCTAGAGATCCTGACATGGCCATGTTCTCCGCCACGGCAACTAACAAGGAGGAAATTCCAGCTCCTCCCCTGTTTTTGGAGGTCTTGACCGATCAATGGGCTCGCCCCTCCAATTTCTCTGCTCCAGGGAGTAATGACTGCCGGCACTATAACGTGGAGCAGACCTTTGCCCAGGCCATTCAATTGCCTGCCTTTGACACCCCAGTGGCCGCCCTTGTTTCTGCCTCTCCGGTGGTTTCAGGTGATGCGGTGGATAAGATGAAGCCGGAGGATAAGCGTGCTGAGCTTACCTTGAGGAAGACTTTTAATGCCACTGCATGGGCTATCAAATCCGTGGCCTCGGCCTCCTACTTTAACCGCGCCACTGTCATGTGGCTTAAGAAGCTTCAGGAGCTCATTCCCATCCAGGACGAGCGGATCCACCAAGATCTCTTTAAGCTTGCCAGTTCTCCGCTGATGCGACCCTGGACACGGTAAAGTTTGCGTCCAGTGCCTTAGCCACACCTGTTACCTCGCGTAGGCTTCTTTGGCTACGCCACTGGCAGATGGATAACAAGGCTAAGTGGGATTTGGCAGCCGCCCCTTTCAAGGGGCCCAATCTTTTCGGGGAGGCTCTCGTCCCCATCTTGGTTGAGGACAAGGACAAGAAGGAGGTCCTTCCCACTAATGCTAAGAAACCCGAGGCTAAGTCTCGCCCTTTCTGTAGACAAAGGTATAGGGCTACAGATTACGGCTATAACCAACGCTTTTCTTCTTTCCCAACTGATAGGCAATTCTCCGGATCGTCCTTTCAGGACAGGAATCGATTCCAGGGCCACTCCAGGTGGCCCTTTCGTGGGGGAGGCGGTCGTCCCTTCCGCAGGGGGAAGTGACTCGAACCCGAGTCGTCCCATTGGCGGCCGCCTCTCCCTCTATGCGGATCAATGGGACGAGATCACGTCGGATGCTTGGGTCCGAGCCACAGTTCGTCACGGTCTCAGGTTAGAATTTCTCTCCACTCCTCTGAACCTCTTCCGGTCGTTCCCTCCGTCTTGGAGTCGGGAGCGCCACCGCCTGATGGATCAGGCAATCACCCACCTTCTCGACATTCGGGCGGTGGAGGCGGTTCCTCTAGGGGAACGAGGCCTGGGCCACTACTCCAACCTCTTCGTGGTTCCGAAGAGCACAGGGGGCTGGAGGGCGATTCTAGACCTCAAGCGCCTGAACAGGTTTCTGGTGTACAGACGCTTCAAAATGTCATCCCTCAAATCTATCCTTCAGGGCATCAGGAAGGGGGACTTCCTGGCCTCTGTGGATCTCACGGAGGCCTATCTTCACATTCCCATCCTGCCCGCTCATCGCCAGTTCTTGAGGTTCTCTCACAAGTCCCGTCACTACCAGTACAGGGCTCTGCCCTTCGGCCTGGCCTCGGCCCCACGGACCTTCACGAAGGTTCTGGCGGCTCATCTGCGGTCTGTGCCGGTTTGTCTCCAGTGTTATTTAGACGATGTCTTGGTTCAGGCCCTTCCTCAGGCCGTCTCGGATCTTTGGCTCACCATTTGGAGCCTTCAAGGCCTGGGCTTTTCGGTGAACTTCGCCAAGAGCCATCTTTCCCCCTCCACTCACATTCTGCACCTGGGGACAGTCATAGATTCCAAGTCGGGGGTGGTGAGTCTGTCTCAGGAACGGCAGGACAGCCTCCGTCGTCTGGTGGAAAGCGTTCGCGCAAGGCGGTCCACTTCCATCCTCTCTCTGTCACAGTTATTGGGCAAGATGGTCTCTTGCATCGGGATTGTCCCGTGGGCCAGGCTTCATCTCAGGCCCCTCCAGTGGGAACTCATCCCATTTCAGAGGGGACAATTGAGCAATTCTCTTCGGTCTCTCCGCATCTCGGCAGGAGTCCGTGCCTCCCTGGCGTGGTGGCTTTCCCCGGCCATTCAGCGGGGGTGTTGTATCTGGGAGCCGGACAGGGTGACCGTCACCACGGACGCAAGTCTGTTCGGGTGGGGGGCTCTGGTGGGCTCCCAGATGGCGCAGGGCAGATGGACGGCCACGGACCTCCGCCACAACATCAATTGGCTGGAGCTGAAGGCTGCGCGGCTGGCCCTGAGTCACTTCCACTCCTCGGTGGAGGGGCGCCACGTTCTCCTCCTGACAGACAATGTTGCCACCAAGGTGCACATCAATCGTCAGGGTGGGACCCACTCGAGAGCTCTCTGGCTGGAGGCTCTGCGGTTGGGGTCCTGGGCAGAGAAGCACCTGCAGTCCCTGGTGTCGGAGCACATCTCGGGGCTCTCCAACGTCCAGGTGGACTGGCTCAGTCGAGCGACTCTGGACAACGGCAAGTGGCAACTCCACCTGTCGCTGTTCCAGAGGATCTGTCGACGGTTCGGGCCCCCTCAGGTGGACCTGTTTGCGTCTCCTGAGAATT